TTCCAGTGTTCCCTCCCATGCCTACAGGATGCCCCTCTCAGTGGAAACCTGAAAACATCCTGCACCTGCCAAACAGTCAGCGAGCTGGCAGAAGGACCTCCCTTGCAATGACAATCCCCTCAGCCCAAACCAGCTTCTGTCACTAGGGACACGCTGGCACCTCGGATCTGCCCCAACAGCGGAGCCCTGAGGCTGGCCCCGCTCTTACCTTCAACCAGTGCCATCTTTTTGTAGTCGGAGCCGGCAGCGCTCTGGTTGCTCAGCAGCTCGCACTGGAAGCTGGCCGTCCAGCGGCTGACGTCCCTCTGCGGGCTGGCCTGCAGGAAGAGGGCCACTCGTTGCGGCGCATGGGCACTGACGCAAGACACGTGGCGGGGTCGAGCCCCTTCTGCCTCGCTTACCCCCAGATGCAGCTGCCCAGCACGCTCCACATAGATGCTGGCACCCTGGAAGTCACTGGAGGGCTTGACGCAGACAGCGGTGTGCTGGGCACTGGAGAGGCTGGGCTCCAGAACGACGTGCAGGGGTCGTGCTGGGTACATCCATTCCAGGGAGCCCTCGGTGCAGCGCAGATGGACCTGCTCCACTGCACGGGAACGCGGCTCCCAGCTCCAACCGCTGCCAAGACAAAACCATCAGCCCGTCACTAACGATACCCAAGCACAGGCAGAACAGCCCGGCAGCCACTGCCGCGCCAGCTGCCTAAAGATCCACGTCTGACTCTGCCCTAATGACTCTTGACTAGTTAAGCTCCTCCAGCTGGGCTGCCTTCCCTCCCTCACCTCTGCCCCCCGCTGCGGTGCCACGGGGAAGGCAGGGGGATTGCTGGCACCTGGTGCGGCCCTGGGGTGCGTGCAAAGGAGCCTCAGCCTCTCTTGCCTACCTGCAAATCCATGCTTGAATGCTGCAGCATCCAGAAAAATGAGAGGGCAACTGCTCTCTGCTATATAGCAACAAAACTTTTCTGAGGGATCGAGTGGCCAACGCGCAGCTCTCCGGAGGATC